ATGCACACACACATGCATACGCACATGCATACACACACTGCATACACACAACGCACAATACACACACACACGCACACACACACATGTACGCCACACACATGCACCACACACACATGCACACACACACACACACGCAGACACATCATACATACATCAACATATACACAAACATGCACACACACACACACATACACACACATACACACATACACACATGTACACACACATGTACACACACACATGTACACACACATGTACACACACACACACACATGTAACACACACATTACACACATGTACACACATGTACACGCATACATGCATATCTCTCTCTCTCTCTCTCTCTCTCTCTCTCTCTCTCCTCTCTCTCTCTCTCTCCTCTCTCTCTCTCTCTGTCTCTGTCTCTGTCTGTCTGTCTCTCTCTCTCTCTCTCTCTCTCTCTCTCTCTCTCTCTCTCTCTCTTCTCTCTCTCTCTCTCTCCTCTCTCTCTCTCTCTCTCTCTCTCTCTCTCTCTCTCTCTCTCTCTCTCTCTCTCTCTCTCTCTCTCTCTCTCTCTCTCTCTCTCTCTCTCTCTCTCTCTCTCTCCGTCCATTTATTTTATTTTCGCATTCTCACCTCATTCATTCCTTTTTCTCGCCCCCTCTTTACTGTTATTCTACTTTCTACTCCTGCAGTTCTTCTCCCTCACACATTTTCTTCTGTCGTATTCCCAAAGACCCATAACAAACAACCAGAGAGATAACAGTAAATAAGATAGAAATGATAACTGAAATAATGGTCATGATGATGATAACAATAATAATGATGAACGTAGAGCAATGTGAATAACTGCGCAGAATTGCTATTAGACAGATTGGTGACTGGGTTCTTTGGTAGGATATATGTATCCGTATCACAATACACACATACATGATGGTAATGGTAATAATGCTAATGATGATAATAATGATAATGTGATTATAATAGTAATACTGATAGTAATAATGATCATACTACTACTACTACTACTACTACTACTAGTAATACTAATGTAAATAATAATAGTAATAATAATAGTAATGATATAGTAATACTAATAGTAATACTAATAGTAATAATAGTAATACTAATAGTAATGATAATAAGCAATACTAATAGTAATTACTAATAGTAATAATAATAGCAATACTAATAGTAATAATAGTAATACTAATAGTAATAATAATAGTAATACTAATAGTAATGATATAGTAATACTAATAGTAATAATAATAAATACTAATAATAAGTAGTGTGAAACATAAAAACGAAAACAAGATATAACAAATAACAAAGAAAAGAAACAAAAAACCAACAAGCCCATAGTTAGAAAAAAGATAGCCTACTCCCCTTCCAACCTTTCTCTCCCCTTCCTCACATTTCCCTTCCCTTCCAACCTTTCCCTCCCCTTCCCAACCTTCCCTCCCCTCCAACCTTCCCTCCCCTTCCAACCTTCCCTCCCCTTCCAACCTTCCCTCCCCTTCCAAACAACCTTCCCTCCCTTTCCAACCTTCCTCCCCTTCCAACCTTTCCCTCCCCTTCCAACCGTTCCCTCCCCTTCCAACCTTCCCTCCCTTCCTCACCTTTCCCTCCCTTCTTCACCTTTCCCTCGCAACCGCAGAACCCGAGGCGAGTCCCCTCCAGCAGGAACCTTCAGACGTCGCAGCAGGTGACCAATTTTGCGATGACGCTTCTCATGGGCCTCATACTAGTGGTGGCTGTGTACTTCGCCGTCGCCAAGTTCCAGACTCATATACCGGAGTATGAGGCGACGCTCAAAGAGGTTGTGTGTGAGTGTGTGTGGTTTGTGGTTTGTGAGTGGGTGTATGAGTTGTGTGTGTTGTGTGTGTGTGTGGGTATGAGTGTGAGTGTGGTTTGTGAGTGTGTGTGTGTGTGGTTTGTGAGTTGGTGTGAGGTGTGTGTGTTGTGTGTGTGTGTGAGTGGGTATGAGTGTGTCTGTGTGCGTGTGGTTTGTGTGTGAGTATGTGGGGTGGAGGCTGGGAGGGAAGGTAGGGTGGTGGAAGGGAGAGGAGTTAAGGAGGAAGGAAGGTAGGCATAGAGGGAGGAGGGAAGTAGGTAGGTATGGAGGGAGGGAGGGAGAATAGGGAGCTATGGAGGCAGACAGGCAGGTAGGTAGGTAGTGGAGCAGAAGACACGATACGTGTGATCTGACACCATCCATGATGGTATTTCTCTAGCCTCCGATATCAGTAGGAAAACCCAAGTTCAGCCTGTCACTAAGACCATACACCGAAGCACCTTGTAAGGATAATAAAGTCCTGTTTGGTTACGTCCAACTACGTCATCCTTCGCTCCCCAGGCCTCCTCATCCTACCCTGGAGAGGAGAGGAGAGAAGGGTTTGGTTAGGATCTCTTCAGGACATCTTGAAGCCTGTGTAGCATTACTGTGTCACTGATTTGTGTAGCCTGGCTGTGTAGTTGAGTGGGATGGAGGGTGTTTGTGATGTGGTGGAGTGTGTTTTGTGCTTGTGGTGGAGTGGAAAATGTATGGTAGAGTGTGATGTGCTTGTGATGGAGTGGAAAATTATTGTATTTGTGGTGGAGTGGAAAAATGTGTGGTGGAGTGTGTTTTGGGTTTGTGTGGAGTGGAAAATAAATGTGAAGCATGTTTTGTGCCGTGGCGGAGGTCCTTGTGATATGGTGGAGTGGGAATTTGTATGATGGAGCTTATTTTGTGCTGTGGTGGAATGGATGGAACGGATGCTTGCGATGTGACAGAATGGAAAGCATTCCTTGTTGACGTGACAGAATGGAAAGCATGTGACAGAATGGAAAGCATTCCTTGATGATGTGATTGGACAGAATGGAAAGCATTTGTGATCCATTCCTTGTGATGTGACAGAATGGAAAGCATGTGAACAGAATGGAAAGCATTCCTTGTGATGTGAATGGAAAGCGTGACAGAATGGAAATGTGACAGAATTCCCTTGTGACTGTGACAGAATGGAAAGCATTCCTTGTGACGTGGACATTCCTTGTGACGTGATGGAAAGCATTTCCTTGTGATGTGACCATACAGAATGGAAAGCATTCCTTGTGAACAGAATGGAAAGCATTCCTATGATGTGACGTGACAGATGGAAAAGCATTCCTTTGACAGAATGGAAAGCATCCTTGTGTGGTGGAAAGCATTCCTTGTGATGTGACAGAATGGAAAGCATTCCTTGTGATGTGGACAGAATGGAAAGCATTCCTTGTGACGCTGACAGAATGTTCCTTGTGAACAGAATGGAAAGCATTCCTTGTGATTGGAAAGCCATTCCTTGTGACGTGTGACATTTCCTTGTGATGAAGAATGGAAGTGACGTGACAGAATTCCTTGTGACGTGACAGTGACCAGAATGGAAAGCATTCCTTGTGATGACAGAATGGAAAGCATAAATGGAAGCATTCCTTGTGACGTGACAGAATGGAAAGCATTCCTTGTGACATGGAAAGCATTCCTTGTGACGTGAACAGTGATGTGGAAGCATTCCTTGTGATGTGACAGAATGGAAAGCATTTGTGACCTGGAAAGCATTCCTTGTGATGGACAGAATGGAAAGCATTCCTTGTGACAGAATGGAAAGCATTCCTTGTGACGTGACAGAATGGAAAGCATCCTTGTGATGTGACAGAATGGAAAGCTGTGACAGATGGAAAGCATTCCTTGTGACGACAGAATGGAAAGCATTCTTGTGATGGACAGAATGGAAAGCATTCCTTGTGACCAGAATGGAAAGCATTCCTTGTGATGTGACAGAATGGAAAGCATTCCTTGTGAACAGAATGGAAAAGCATTCCTTGTGATGACAGAATGAAAGCCATTCCTTGTGACGTGACAGAATGGAAAGCATTCCTTGTTGACGTGACAGAATGGAAAGCATTCCTGACAGAATGTTCCTGACAGAATGGAAAGCAGTGACACAGAATGGAAAAGCATCCTTGTGACGTGACAGAATGGAAAGCATTCCTTGTGACGTGACAGAATGGAAAGCATTCCTTGTGACGTGACAGAATGGAAAGCATTCCTTTGTTGATGTGACAGAATGGAAAGCATTCCTTGTGACGTGATGGAAAGCATTCCTTGTGACGTGCAGAATGGAAAGCATTCCTTGTGACGTGACAGAATGGAAAGCATCCTTGTGACGTGTGAATGGAAAGCATTCCTGTGATGTGACAGAATGGAAAGCATTCCTTGTGACGTGATCGTGACGTGACAGAATGGAAAGCATTCCTTGTGATGGACAGAATGGAAAGCATTCTTGTGACGTGACAGAATGGAAAGCATTCCTTGTGACGTGACAGAATCATTCCATGATGGACAGAATGGAAAGCATTCCTTGTGATATGATTGCAACACGCTGGGTGTGATGTGTGTGTTTGTGATGTAATGCGTGGCTGAAATGGTCTTTGGTGTAAGGTTACGGTCGGGATGTGAGGTTTATGATGTGATGCCTGGGTCTGGTGTGACGTGGAGAATGTAGTGTGATGTGGTGTGGGACGTTTATGGTGTAACGCATGTTGTTGGATGTTTGGGATGTGGTATAATGGATGGGATCGGATGTGAAACCAATGTGTGACGGCTTCTTGTGATGTGAAGTAATGCAAGGGATGGGAAAGGTACTGTTGTGATGTGCAAGTGGCAAGATGGGATGTTTGTAAAGTAATATAATATAATAGGTGGGATGTGATGTATTGAGTGAGATAGGATATTTATGTTGTGACTTAAATAGCAGGATGTGATGTGATGGGCAAGGATCTCTGAGACGTGATGTAATGAAAAAGATGTAACATGTTGTGATTTGATTATAACATAAATGGTGTGAATAAACCATGCCCATTATAACCTTGTTCTATATAGCGTGTGTATTTGATAACCTAGGATTTATTGATCTATTGATTTGCAATTTATAAAATCTATTTACAGGTTTGTCGAACGTCTTCTTTGCCTCGTCTGCAGTATAAGGGAGTCGAGAGCTTCTTCGAGTATTTGCTAAATCCAGATAAAAGCTTTTGTACCTCCTGGGTGGATTTCAGCAAAGAGGGCGAGACAGAGAGTCGGGTAAGTTTGTTTTCTTATTCTTCTCTCTCCATCTCTCTCTGTCTATCTCCTTTCTCTCTTTTTTCTTTTCTTATTTTCTCTCTTTTTTTCTCTCTTTTCTCTTTCTCTCTCTTTTACTCTTTCTCTCTTTCCTTTTTCTCTCTTTCTCTTTTCTCTCTTTCTCCCCCCCCCCCCCCCTCTCCTCTCTCTCTCTCTCTCTCTCTCTCTCTCTCTCTCTCTCTCTCTCTCTCTCTCTCTCTCTCTCTCTCTCTCTCTCTTCCCTCTCTTCCCTCTTTCCTCCGTTCTTTCTCCCCTCTTTCCTTCATCCCCTTCTCCCATTCTTCCCCTTCTTCCCTCCTATTCGCACTCTCCTTTCCCCCCTTCACTCCATCCCTCCTTTGTCGCCACCCTCCCTCCATTAATCCATCCCTTCTCCTCCCTTTCTCTTTCCTCCTCTCCCTCCTCCCTCCCCTCCTCTCCTCTCCCTCCCCTCCTTCTCCTCTCCCCTCCATCTCCTTCCCCCTTCCCCTCCCCTCCCCTCCCCTCCCCCCTCCCCTCCCCTCCTTTCCCCTCCCTCCCCTCCCACCCCCCACTCCCCTCTCCTCCCTCATAAACACCGCTTCTTTACACCCAGTAAGGACCACCCTATGTTGTACTTAACAGCTCCTCTTTTCTTCTGGACAGGTTCGACGCGACAGCCACTACGGTCGGTATGTGTGTGCCAATGCCAGTGATGACGGCGTGGGCGAGTCCTGTCTCGTCTACTACTTCACTGTGGTCGATGATGAACAGTTCAAGAAGGACATGGACAAGCTCACGTGCCACGTTCACGAAATAGTTGACAAGCTGGTAAGGCGTTCAAATGTTTTTTTTTTTATTTTTTTTTTTTTTTTTTTTTTTTTTTTTTTTTTTTTTGCGTTGGGAATTGATTTGATGAATTAATGAATAATAATAAATAATGCTGATGATAATGATGTAAGATAATAATATAACACAGCAGTTTTGCATGCATTGTAAAAGGACCGGGCGAGAAGATGAACCGACAGTAGCATACATAACGCCCATAATCTGGCTGAACTTATATTGACTTAAGGGCCAAGTCAGACATTAAACATACATGCTGAGGGGCTGCACCTTAATTGCTCGGCTTTATATTTGGTTAACTATCTAATATACTAAATAGAAAAATGATTTTACAATAATGAACAGTTTTTTCCAATTAATTTATTCTTAAGTGCGATATTTCCAATTGTGTAAAATATTTTTCTGTGAATTGTAGTTGCACTCACTAAAGTCAAATACCTACTACCTACCTTACCTACCCACCCACCCAACCATATTTTTTACCCATGCCCACCCACCCACCCACCCACCTACCTACCCCACCTACCTACCCCTAGCAACAACCTACTACTACCCACTAACTTACTCTACTTACCACCACACCCAACCACCATACCCACCACCTACCCCACCCCCACCTACCCCTACCACTACCCACCCACCTACTACCCCTACCCACCCTAACTCTACTTAAACAATTCACCACCAACCTACCCACCTTCCCAAACACACTACTTTACATACAACCCTACCCACCTACCTAACACATACTCCTTCAACACTACCTACTACCACCAACCTAATACACACAGACTTACCTAACCTAACACAACAACCACCACACCACTACTACCTACCATACCTACCTATACACTACCTAATACCACCACCTACCCACCCACCCACCTATACTAACCACCTACCTACCCACCTACCTACCCACCCTTACCTACCTAACCTAACTACCTACCTACCTACACCACACACATACACCCCCACCTACCCTACCACCCATTACTACACTACCTACCCTACCTACCACACTACCTACCTACACCTACCCACCTACCTACCTACACCACCTACACCTACCCATCTATTCACCCACTCATCCGCAGAAGAAAGAAGTGGAGGAATCTGAGAAATCGCCCAGGAGACACCCGTGGCAGATTTCGGAGATTTCCTACGACCGAGTCCTTCCCGGGGGGTCGGTCAAGCGCCGTCGGTCTCTGAAGGACATCGTGACCTCCCTCGGGCACGTCGGGCGCAAGGTCAGGTTCCTCAGAGCTGACCTCCACGGGCAGGAGTGGACGCTGCTCCGACAGGTGGTGATGAATCATGATATCATTAATGTTCACCAGGTAAGGAGTGAGCAAAAGGCTTGTGTACTTTATATTAACTGATTATTAAATTAATTAGATTAAATATTTTGCTTTAAAATATTAATTAGATATTAATTGCTTGTTAAAGCGTTTACCGCGTTGATGCTATGGTAGAATGAACAACAAATACACACATGTTAATAGATATTAATTGCTTGTTAAAACGTTTACCGCGTTGATGCTATGGTAGAATGAACAACAAATACACACATGTTAGATTTACTGAAACTCTAAGACGGTGAAGAATCATATCATTAATGTTCACCAGGTAAGGAGTGAGCAAAAGGCTTGTTTAATAGATATTAATTGCTTGTTAAAACGTTTATTGCGATGGTGTAATTAGAGAATAAACAACAGTTGTACACAGATTTACTGATGTTCACCAAGAAAAGAGTAAGCAAAGGGACCCTTCTGCTATATATAGTGTATTTATTGAATGTTATAACAGTTGATCACTGTGTACTGTAAGTATACCATAATTTTATTTATGTAGCCACACCTATGAGTTAAGTATTTCTCAAGAACCTCGCATGTTCATCGAATAAAGGTGCTGTCACACTAGCAATTTTTCCGTCAATTTTTGTACAATTTTCTGAAATTTTCTCCATTTTTGAGCGAATTGTCGATTTTCCAGTCAGACGATAATGATCGTTTCCGTCTGAAAACCTTTCCGTCAACTTTTTTCAGCCAAGCATAGTCAAATCAAGAGCTATATTCGAGAATGTTTGTATTTCCGTTAAATCTAATTGTCCAAAAATGACCGAAAAAGTGCAAGTGTGACAGAACCTTTAGATATAAGAGATCTAGGAATAGCGAATCTACATATAGACTCCCAAAATGACTCTGAACATTATAGGAAGTCCCTCTTTCAACAGATCAGCATAGGCCTACACATACCTTTGAGTGTGAATCGGCTGACGATGGAGGAAAGGAGACGATATTTTGAAGACTTGTATCAGGTAAAGTGTTTGAATTTTCTCCGTCTTATCGAGGGTTGATTCGAAAATATCGTTAGGCAGTTTACGTTAAGGTTAAATTGGGTATTTAAGTGATTGCGGTGTTAATTTATGAGCTTTAATTATCTCTGGCAAATCTTGAAGTGAGCAGTTTTATTGATAAAATGACATCTTTCAATTCGTTTATGGTTTATTTATTTATTTTTTTATGGTTTATTTAGACTTTCCACGATGTTTTTTTTTTTCTTAAACGTAATGTGATGTATTGTGCGCGAATTTTATATGGGATGTTTTATGTGTTTATATTGCCTTGATGTTTGGTTGTAATGTTGTCTGTAATTTCTGGGAGTTTTTTTTTTTTTTTTTTTTTTTTTTCGTCGGTTGCATTAAATATTGTTTTCTCTTGATGTATTCATAATCCATAATACACAACTATAATATACAACTATATCTCCTCACCTATACCCTAATTACATAAAACAAAATAATATCAACAGAATTCAAGTTTTATCTACAATACATATTTGTATCTCCTCACCCCATAATTATATATATAAAAAAATCAAATATGCATTAAATATTTATAATTACACTTTTATATCACCTCACCTTTTCCCTAATTATATATATATATATATATATATATATATATATATATATATATATATATATATATATATATATATATAGTATATATATTATAAAGCAAAATCAACGTCGAATTCAATTTTCATCTTTAACACACATTTATACGTATCCTCCCTTTTTCCCGCCAAAAGGTATTCAAAGGCCTGGCGTGTCTCGGCTACAAGCACGTGCGAGTCGAAGCGATCGAGACGGACAGTAGCCGCTTGGTCGTCCCGGAGATGGGAGGTGCGACGCTCCCTTCCTTCTACGAGGTGCACTGGGTCAAGACGGCTCCTCAGGCGTCAGGAAGTAACGATCATTATGTTTATTATTAAATGGTGTCGAGTCGATGTAATTATGTGTGTGTGTGCTGTGTCTGGAGTTGCGATTGATATCGGTTGTTAATTTAAGTACGTATTAAAGATATAATATTCAATGTTTTGGGTTTTTCTGTTCCCTATATGCAATAGGAATGTTGATATAAATTTTTAAAACTTTTTTCCCACACTTTTTCGATAATTTACTGATAATTATTTTTGCAATGATTTTTTTTATCGAGAAACTGATAAATTCTCTTATGTATCTTCAATGGCACACTTTGTTTTTTTATGAAAAACTGGAAAGTAAAAAAAAATGAAAACTTTGTTTTTTTTTATGAAAAACTGGAAAGTAAAACAACTTTACCTGATTATGTGCCTGTAGATATTAAATCGATACGAAAAGCAACAACAAAAAAACGGAATTGAGAAGTAATGAATATGAAAAAACGAGAACTAATATAAAGTTGATATTTAAGATTTAAAGCTAATGTTAGGCGAAACACTACGACCACCTTGTCAGTAATACAAAGAATAGTTATTGCAAGTAGGACAACGAAGGGAAGAACAAGAAAACACACGAGTCTGTTTTTCCTTCGCTGTTCTACATATAATTAGTTCGAGAGGAATCCACAAAGAAAAAAGGAATAAGTTAAATAAGTTAATTCTGGTTGATGCTTAGCCTAACGCCACACTAAAGTTGTTAACGTGAGTAAACGTACAGTTCTGGACAGATGTAAATCAGTGTTTTCGTTTTGATAAACTGTCCTTTTGCTATTGACTCCTCATCCTTCCCCATTCCCTCCTTCACTC